ACTTTTTGGAAAACTGATCAATATGCGACATGTTTTTTCATTAAAAAACTCGTATTTTTATGTCGAAAACGTGTGCTATGATCAAACTATAGCTAACTAAATTATCAACGAAATTTATTTACTTGGCATGCTTTTTCAGCAAAATTTTTGATCAAGTGATCGGCACGAAAACATTCCCCAGTTTTCAAATCTTTTACCATCCAATCCGAGAATCGATCAACGTGTCCGGATGCTCTGCAAACAAATTTGCCGATAAATTTCACTCCGCCTGACGTAATGACGCTTTGTGATCGATTTTCAAAAACACACGATAATTGCTACTGGGCAAAAAGACAGCCTGCTCTGCCACCTATATCTCTTGAATATTGTTCTGCTGATGATACTGTTAACAGAAAAAGATATCAATTTTGAAAGCATAGATGGGGCAATAAAGTGTATCAATAGAAGCGAAATATGAAAAAATTCTGTTCCGAAGATAGCTATATGGATTTCTGATTTTGAAAATTTAAATTATCTCCATCATTTCCTGAGCTAAGTTCAACATTAAGTATACTTCTTACAACTACCTTCTCGACCTTGTTATGGACGGAGGAACGGAAGCCATGTATCCCAGGCACTACTGGCGAAATAAATGACGGTAAGTGGCAAGAAGAAAGGGAACGATGCGGATGTTTCGGGTTCAGGATGGAAATACATGGCAACGCGCACCAGACTAGCTGGTGCGATCATGCATTTTGTGCAATTCAGCCCATCGAACGATTGCCTATTAATGATTTTCACTGCTTGTTCAAACATTGGAAAGCAGTTAAAAATTTCAAGCACCCTGTTAATGATTTTCACTGCTTCGTACTTCAGTCTATGCAAAAATAGTTCAAACATTGGAAAACATTTAAAAATTTCACGCACCTGCGTATGAAAGCTGAATTCGAAACCTTGAAGGATGAATATCTTTCCGTGATTCCTGAGTTAATAGTTTACCCGCCAAAATTTTCACGAGTCCGTAGGTGGTACTCGAGAGTGCGAGAACGCTGAATTTGAATGGGCAAGGTTGAGCATGGGCAGGGGGTCATTATCCTGAAATTTT